CATAGTCGCCGACACACTCCAACTCGAAGGCGTACTCACGGCTGATTAGGGGCACCTGGGAGGGCTGCAGACTTCTGGCAAGTTGCAGTGCTGCGTCCCAGTGGAGGAGGTCACGACGCATCTAGGAGTCGAAGGTGTATTCGTGATATTTAAAACTTTCTGACTGACAAATCCACGATACACTTGACAACGACAAGGAAGCACAAACAACCATTTCGCATTTATTGAAACTTGTTAGTAATTATACCCAGGTAAACAATGGGCCTCAAATACACAGTTTATTATTTATTTATTCAGGAAGTCAAGCTAGGCGAACGAAGGGTTTCAATTAATTCATCATCAGGCAAATACAATAATATAAAGGAGGGACGTGTTAACAAAAGTGTAAGCAACCAATCAGTAGTAATAAGGGGGAGAAGGGGAGAGGTGTTAAGGAGTCAGTCATAATCAGGGACCAGAAAGGGAAAGGGGGAAGGGGTCCGACAATTAGTTAATGTCGCCCCGTCGTCCTTGGCTCGCATTTTATTGGGATAAGTGCCATCGTCTCGTGACGGCGTGAGTGGCCTGGGAATGCTTGTTGTCACTGTGAACATTAATTAATCGAAAACGTTGTTTCGTCTTAGTTGACTTATTAGTAAGTCAAAAACCATTTCCCTGGGAGACTAAAGTCTACTCGCATTTATATGATAGCTTTGCTGACTCAATACTGCATTTTGAAGGTAACAGTTTCCTGAGACGGCGATCACCTTCAACTATACGAGAAAATATAGTAAGTTAGGATGATAACTTGTAGAAACGAAACAGAAGCCGGAGAACACAGATCACAAGGCCATCTTGATCGCGAGTAACAAAGTTTGCATTCACTTATATCCTGTTAACGGCCAAACAGTATTCAACTCCAGTGCCTTTCTAAATAAATAGCTTGATCAGCAATACCTACAACTTCTGTTCTTACTAGTGATTTTGCGTTAACCATAATTATGGGGGCAGGTAACGAGCCGAAGACGAGTGCTCCGATACTTTACTAAGAAAAACAGGGAAAATGTCTTGCCATTGCTTAGACAGGCTCCTTGATGAGTATTATGGTAAGGCCAAAGGTACAATGTAGCCCGAGACCACAGGACGAATTTGGAGGTCGGGTGTTAATGCTTGGAATTTTGGGTTGGGTTCTGCTTGCAAGCATAAAAGTGGAATACGAAACATCTGACAGGAACTAGTAGTCGGAACTGACTGCCTATATTTAGTGTCACTGGAAGCACTCCGTACCGATTAATGATTTCCGTTTACGTTTGCAGAACGTCCAACCATACATGTCCTCCCTTCGACACGGAATATAACAAGAGATCTATTACCAGAAAAGGTCTCCAATCTGCTATGTATATATCTAAGAAGGTCTGATCGGCAATTATTGTTTCTTAAGGACTGCAAACGCAATAGTTTCATAGGGGACAGAAACCTAATGGAAGTTCTTTCTTCCGACAGCGAAAAATAGCGAGACT